GGGGGGGGGGGGGTCGCCCCGGGGGTGAGTTACCCCGCCGCCCCCCTGATATCGACAGGAAGCACCAGTGGACGAAAACCAAAGCCGTGTCCCTGGAAAAAGCGCAAACTGACTGACGACGTACGGTCACACCGCGCAAACGACGGACGAGCCGTCATACCGTACCGATATGCACCGGCACGACACGCCCTGTTTGTGAAAAAAAAATGGATGGCTGCGTCTTGTACGACTGGCACTGGATATTTCAACAAGATGTTCGCATTGCGGGGTCTTCAACAGAGGACACACCCAACAAACCATCACTCCTTGCAACTGATCGGGAGCATGTTGAAGAGGGTGGGCAGCAGGGCTGACTGGATGATATTTCAGCTGCTGCGGGCTCAAAATACTTCTAATTTTGAACGATCGAGTATGATCAACTTTTTTTACGTGGCAGACGAAAACGGTGGCTCGCAGTTCTAGCCTAACCTGCCGCCTTTTCTCTCTAAGTGAACAACTCCGATCGTAGTCGACAAATCTTCTGCGGTTAACGCGAGAAGGCTACAGCCTTCCGCCAATCCCTCAAGCATGTACTCATGAACACCGACCGTTCGGCACCTCTGCAGTAGGTACGAAACGCGGGCATTACACGCACGTAGAAGACCCGCGTTCCTATCAATGACACCAGAGGGTTTTCGAGGGTACCACCTAAAACGTGCTTTATGGTTCTCAAACTTGCACCACCGGCATAATATTTACAAGAGGCCGAGGGGATGCATAACCCTGGGCACTTCCAAACAAAGATAGAGGCTTTCTACTTTGTTTGGGACCCCGCAGAACAAGTAGAGGGGACAATCTAAGGGCGGCAAATCCGAACGATGCCACAAAATCGATCGGAGCTTAGCTCTATCGGAAAGTCGAACAAACATTACCCACCAACAAGCCTGCTACAAAAGTCATGATTGGGTGCATTCGTTGCCCCTTCATGTGTGGGATAAAACTGTACGCCACCTGTCAGCAGCCAAAACGATCGATTATTGAGACTTTTCGAAGAAGGATACCCCGAACATCTCCTCCTCGCTTAAGTTCAACGCGTGAGAAAAAAGCCTGCTCCATCTCTTCTACATCACGACCGTTTAAACTTCACGCTTGTGGGCGCTCGACGCCAGCGCGCCTTCAACTACCGCTCTTCTTTGCGACCCGCCGCCATCCGGGAGTCGTCCCACGTTTCACCGTACCGCGTCGTCGCGCCGCCTTCCGGTCCCCCACTCCCGGCGTCCTTCGCCCCTCCTCGCACGCGACGGCCGCCGGATTCGCCATAGCCACCACCTCCTCTCCCTTGTCCTCCGAACCTTCGCGACGGCGATGTTGCCGCAGTGGGCGGCCGCCGCCGCGGCCTGGGTTTCCCTGACACCCGCTCCCACTGCTGCTGCTTCTGCTTCTGCTGCTGGTCGTCGCTGCGACCGCGCCCCGCCGCTGACCTCTCTCCGGCGGCCACCATCCCTCTTCGTTCGGCCCCCGAAAATCCCGACGATCCCACGCCCTCGTAGTAGGGCTCCTCGTACTCCCGTTCTCCGAAGTAGGCACCGAAATCTGGTGGCACTGTCCCAGTACCGCCGTTCGGAAGGCCAGATGCTCCTTCTCCTGCGTGTGCTGGCGGCGCCGAGGAGGGTCCTCCTCCTCCTCGTCCTCCTCGCGCGAGGTCGTCGTCCAGCGGCCGCGTCTGCGTCCACGAGTCGCGGTAGGCTATCGGGTCCAGCTCCTCGTCATCGTCTTCTTGGAGGTTGTTGTTGAGACCTTGGTACCTTCTTCGCGATGAAGAATAAGAAGCGGCTGCCTCGTCGTCATCGGCGTCCCTCCGCTGCTGCTGCTGCTGCTGCTGCTGCTGCCTCCTCCTCTTAAGGTCGCGAGACGCTAACAGTCGCCGCATCACAACCTGGCATGTGTGAGTGTGTGTGTCCCCGGTGGGTGTCAGCACGGACTCAAAGACGGTCGCCGGAGCATAAGCATGGCACACGAGAGAGTGGGGTACACGGCCGGTCGTCCTCCATCTACAAAATGACCACAACGAGCAGCAGCTGCCATCTTGGACTCGTTCAAAACTCGAGAAATTTCTCGGAAATCGACAACAGTTTTCGGGGGCAAGCCGTTCATTCTCAAAAGCGGAGCAAATCTCACGGGGTGTCAAACCAACGGCGGAAACACATGAGACCATCGGTCAACTCTTTGGGCTTAATATCTGAACATTTGCGGACCCTTAGGGTCCATTATATTTTCGTGTACCTTTTTGGGGTAAGTGAGCCTGTGACCAGGGGAATAGACCGCGTCAAGTGTTAAGACTAGTACGGACAGAAGAAGGTACTGGGTAGAGAGAACGGAACAGTTTTAAATGTGAAGACAACAACATCAACAAGAACAACATTTGTTAGAAATCTTGAAATTCGCACAGCTGTCAACGGGATACATGCGCCGAAAACACTTTTCATACAAAGCCTCCCTTGTATTTCCAATCGCCGGTAACCGACCCGAGCGTTAGTTTGACCGACCCACCTTGTCCAGATAAGGGTACTCGCCCACCCACACGTTCGCGGCCGGGATGAACGTGTCCGACACCCCCAGGATCTCCTCGAAACGCTCGTCCGGGCTCACCTGGTCATGAGAACAGAAAAACGTGCACACACCCCAAAAGCAGGCCGAGCACCGACACACACAAAAGCACGGGCACACGTTTCCGCCAAACTTGAGAGCCAGGCCACGTTCTGACTACCGTGATTTCTATTGTGAAACGATTGGCCGGGCTTCACAAACACGGCTGGCCTTAAGCGGCGTCTTGTCTTATGCCATGGCCATAATGGCTTCGCGCCACTATTGACCTATGGATAGTCTCGCCTTCCATATGCACAATCCCACACGGGGATGTATGTATGGCGCTGCGCACCCACCAATCGTGAAGTGTGCGAGCAAAACATCGATGCGTATTCTCCTCTCAGCGGACGGCACAACAATAGCCTCCGGTGTCCACATGCCCCACCCCCCCCCCGACCAGGAGTACACCCCTCGCCCGCTCATTCTGGTTCTCCGTATCTCTCACCAGGACTGCCTCGGCTGCCATGCCCGGCCGTACGCGGGCGTACTCCGCCCTCGTGCGCGTCCGAAACTTGAGCGCGCGGCCGTCCTCGTCTTCGATCACCATGCGTAGGAACACGGGCTGCCCGGTGACCGGGTGGTACTGTCACGAAAAGCAAGAAGAGCCCGCCCCCACAAGCGCGAGGAGCAAAGGTGGGTTGTGTGCATCGAGAATTATTTCCGCGGCGGGAAGGAAACCAAGGTCATGCGGCTCACGGGCAGTCGTGTCCAAACGATAACCAACCGAAAATTCACCTCTCCGCTCTAGCATCTCCACGTGCACGTCCCATACCGTCCCGTTTATCCTCAAAGCGAATGTACGGCTGTACCACACAAAGCAGATGGCATGAACCCTTGGGCTATTGCGCAAGCTGGGCTTGAGGCGTACGCATCGAGCTGTGAAGAGGATAAATCAACTAGAAAATGGAAAAAAAAAGTTTAAACTTGCGCTAAGCCCTACGATCATACTTTCCTCTACGCGCTCGCTCAGTGTCACTTGCAGCTGACGCGGCACAACAAGCACGCGTCCACACACAAACACACACCTCTTCAACTGCGCTGACCACACGAGCACTGAAGATGGCAACGGAGTTGCCCCTCGCCCCGGGAAACGGAGCGATGCTCCCTCTAAGCGCCCGATTTCGTCGGAAGGAGGTCACGTTCGGCGCCAGCAGCCAGTAGAAGAGGAAGGACTGCTCGATTGTTTTGATTGCAGACCGATCGATCGATCGGCCGGCCGAGACAGGGTCGGGAGAGGAGGGTTGAGTCGGCGCGGCTGCGGTGCCCGGGCCCAAGTTGGTCGCGGTTCCCATTTGACACGCACGGAATAGCGCTGCTCTAAGGAAGCCGAGGCAAGCTTGTGAACAACTGCCTACCCTGCCACCTGCCGCCGCTGCTGCTGCTGCTGGCGCTACGCTACATGCACCCCGACACGAAATCCCGCTGCCTAAAAGATAGTGGAGAAAATCGCCACATTTGCCGGCGGGTACGTCTCACCGTTCCGATCACGGTCATCGTCGCCACTCCCAAGAAAAAGCTGGCGAAGTAGCACGCCCACAACCCCAGGAAGGCCACCGCGGCCACCTCGAAAAGCTTGCCCACCCGTTGGACGTCGGAACCCCCCCAGTAGTGCGACCACTGGTCACGTGTGGCCAGGACAGGAAGGACCATGTGTCCGGCATCCCCCGAGAGGCGTGTCAAGCCGCAACGCAGTTCCGATCGACAACCCCTGCTCAACATGACCGAGTTGCCAACGGGCAGAGAGACGGGGGGGGGGG